TAGTCTAGTCTATAGTCTAGTCTATAGTCTAGTCTATAGTCTAGTCTATAGTCTAGTCTATAGTCTAGTCTATAGTCTAGTCTATAGTCTAGTCTATAGTCTAGTCTATAGTCTAGTCTAGTCTATAGTCTAGTCTATAGTCTAGTCTAGTCTATAGTCTAGTCTATAGTCTAGTCTATAGTCTAGTCTATAGTCTAGTCTATAGTCTAGTCTATAGTCTAGTCTATAGTCTAGTCTATAGTCTAGTCTATAGTCTAGTCTATAGTCTAGTCTATAGTCTAGTCTATAGTCTAGTCTATAGGCTAGTCTATAGTCCAGTCTATAGTCTAGTCTATAGTCTAGTCTATAGTCTAGTCTATAGTCTAGTCTATAGTCTAGTCTATAGTCTAGTCTATAGTGTAGTCTATAGTCTAGTCTATAGTCTAGTCTATAGTCTAGTCTATAGTCTAGTCTATAGTGTAGTCTATAGTCTAGTCTATAGTGTAGTCTATAGTCTAGTCTATAGTCTAGTCTATAGTCTAGTCTATAGTCTAGTCTATAGTCTAGTCTATAGTCTAGTCTATAGTCTAGTCTATAGTCTAGTCTATAGTCTAGTCTATAGTCTAGTCTATAGTCTAGTCTATAGTCTAGTCTATAGTCTAGTCTATAGTCTAGTCTATAGTCTAGTCTATAGTCTAGTCTATAGTCTAGTCTATAGTCTAGTCTATAGTCTAGTCTATAGTCTAGTCTATAGTCTAGTCTATAGTCTAGTCTATAGTCTAGTCTATAGTCTAGTCTATAGTCTAGTCTATAGTCTAGTCTATAGTCTAGTCTATAGTCTAGTCTATAGTCTAGTCTATAGTCTAGTCTATAGTCTAGTCTATAGTCTAGTCTATAGTCTAGTCTATAGTCTAGTCTATAGTCTAGTCTATAGTCTAGTCTATAGTCTAGTCTATAGTCTAGTCTAGTCTAGTCTAGTCTAGTCTAGTCTAGTCTAGTCTGTCTAGTCTAGTCTAGTCTAGTCTAGTCTAGTCTAGTCTAGTCTAGTCTAGTCTAGTCTAGTCTAGTCTAGTCTAGTCTAGTCTAGTCTAGTCTAGTCTAGTCTAGTCTGGTCTAGTCTAGTCTAGTCTAGTCTAGTCTAGTCTATAGTCTAGTATATAGTGTAGTTTATAGTCTAGTCTATAGTTTAGTCTATAGTTTAGTCTATAGTTTAGTCTATAGTTTAGTTTATAGTCTAGTCTATAGTCTAGTCTATAATCTAGTCTATAGTCTAGTCTATAGTCTAGTTTATAGTCTAGTCTATATTTGTTTTAAGTTAGTACTATTTCAAAATTAAAATTTTCCATGCCTGACGCGTAGTATTTTCTAAAACGTTAAATTCACTCCTTGTAAAGCTGCTGGGTACGTATACTTTATGTGAAATTGCGTACACGCACTCATGGATTCCTACATTCTTTAATTTATGTGAGAATATGGTTGTTATTGCAGAATTAATGTAACAAATTGTTTACATTGTTGTGATTGTTGTTTCTAACTGTTCATTATTTAGTGTTGTCAACATTATAATTAAAAAAGCATTTAACTCAAGAAAAGCGTAAATTATTAGTAAAAATAGCACTAAGAGATACATACATTTTTAAATTTTACACAAAAGAAAAATATTTTAAGAAAATTTTCTATAAAAAATATCAAAAATTTTCAATGAATTGGGTAATCAATTGGGTTCGAAATAGTTAGAAAGGGGGCGGGACTTAAGTTAACTAGATGTGAACTAACTTGAACACGGTTGATATTGGACGTGGGAAGGATCAACTTTTCCGACTATTATAGGATGTCTGAAATGTAAAAAACAATTTGAACATTTTCGAAAGCTGTGCTAAAAGCACTATGTTAACAAAGCTGTCATTAACACTTTGTGGGAGAGTCCATATGCGTGCAATTGCATATCTACATACACACATATTATGTACATACATACATGCGTGGGTATGTATAACTTTTCATTATTATACTACGTTAGTAATAATGACTTTCATTTGTTTTTGCGTGTATTGTGTTTATTGTTGTTAATAACATCCGCATTTACACTCTTTACACACCCATACATTGACTTTATTTATTTCTGTTCAGCCACATTTTTGTGTTTTTATTTGTTGAACTTTATTTAGTGCAATGTTGAGGTCAGTGTTAATAATTAATGTTCTTGCATATTTTTGTTCGCTTTTTGGAATATTTTTTTTATTATTAAATTTATTATTTTATTTGTAATTCTATAGACTTTATAATTTATTTAATTAATTAGATATCAGAGAAACCTTTTAAAATAATTAGTTTAAACTTTAAAGTTTTTTTTATTACCTTTTTAGTGGAAATTAAGTTTTAAATCCTATTGCTGGTAAATTATAATGTAGTTTAAATTGATAAAAAAAAATTATTTAGTTTTTTTATGTATCAAATACATTAAGTACTAATTAACTCTCTTAACTTAAACTAATGAAAACATAAAACATCGTTTATGCGAAAATTTATCTCATTAGAGAATCTATCATTCGTATTAAATTTTCCTAAAAAATTAATTAATTAGTTGTAACATTTAATATTTCTAAAGCAAAATACATTAGAAAATATTAATTAAAAATGCACACATAAACATTCTAACACCTTTTTTTAAGACAAACTTGTTTTACGAAAAGCTTTGAAACAAGAGTTTTTTATTCATAAAGAAAAGCTTTAGAAATGCTATTGATCAATTCTCTAAATACATTTTAGAAGTAAAATTTAAATTATAACCATAGAAACAGAATACAAGGATAACTATTTTAAATTAAGAAATATGTATACGAAAAGCCCTTCGTTCAGACACTAACTAACTAACTAACTAACTAACTAACTAACTAACTAACTAACTAACTAACTAACTAACTACTAACTAACTAACTAACTACTAACTAACTAACTAACTAACTAACTAACTAACTAACTAACTAACTAACTAACTAACTAACTAACTAACTAACTAACTACTAACTAACTAACTAACTACTAACTAACTAACTAACTAACTAACTAACTAACTAACTAACTAACTAACTAACTAACTAACTAACTAACTAACTAACTAACTAACTAACTAACTAACTAACTACTACTAACTAACTAACTAACTAACTAACTAACTAACTAACTAACTAACTAACTAACTAACTAACTAACTAACTAACTAACTAACTAACTAACTAACTAACTAACTAACTAACTAACTAACTAACTAACTACTAACTAACTAACTAACTAACTAACTAACTAACTAACTAACTAACTAACTACTAACTAACTAACTAACTAACTAACTAACTAACTAACTACTAACTAACTAACTAACTAACTAACTAACTAACTAACTAACTAACTAACTAACTAACTAACTAACTAACTAACTAACTACTAACTAACTAACTAACTAACTAACTAACTAACTAACTAACTACTACTAACTAACTAACTAACTAACTAACTAACTAACTAACTAACTAACTAACTAACTAACTAACTACCAACTAACTAACTAACTAACTAACTAACTAACTAACTAACTAACTAACTAACTAACTAACTAACTAACTAACTAACTAACTAACTAACTAACTAACTAACTAACTAACTACTAACTAACTAACTAACTAACTAACTAACTAACTAACTAACTAACTAACTAACTAACTAACTAACTAACTAACTAACTAACTAACTAACTAACTAACTAACTAACTAACTAACTAACTAACTAACTAACTAACTAACTAACTAACTAACTAACTAACTAACTAACTAACTACTAACTAACTAACTAACTAACTAACTAACTAACTAACTAACTAACTAACTAACTACTAACTAACTAACTAACTAACTAACTAACTACTAACTAACTAACTAACTAAACTAACTAACTAACTAACCTAACTAACTAACTAACTAACTAACTAACTAACTAACTAACTAACTAACTAACTAACTAACTAACTAACTAACTAACTAACTAACTAACTAACTAACTAACTAACTAACTAACTAACTACTACTACTACTAACTAACTAACTAACTAACTAACTAACTACCTAACTAACTAGCTATCTAAGTAACTAATGTTTGCTTTCAATGTTTGCTTGTAGGTGAAAGAGCACAAATTTGTAACTTACTATTTGTAATGAATTATTTAAGTACCTAATTGTAAGCGAGAGTGGTAAATATTTGCTTCCCATGATATTGCGTATTGAAAATTATTTTTAATACCTCTGGCATAGAAAGTACTTATGTAGCTCCCTATTTTTAAGCAAACGTGGTAAGTAGTTGTCCCCAATGTTATGCTCGTGTTAAAGTAATGCTATAGTGTAAGTAATGTAAGTTTTTGCTGGGTACATACATATGTTACAAACGAAATAATAGAATAAATAAATATACACATTGTCTCTTTAATGGTGAATATCAAAAGTGGTGAATATAAAATTATTAAGTTTTAATTTAAATTAAATGATCATTTATTACAGATTTATTTTGAAACAATTGAAAATTTATAACAAAATGATAAAATGTGCCAATAATAAATCATATCAATCAAATTATTGAGATGAAAACCACAAAATACTTCCACAGTTATTATTAAAGTAATGGGGTGTTGAGTTAAATAATTTAAACATTAAACCCAAAAGAGTGTAGTGAGTGCAACATTAGACAATAAACTAAACAAACAAAGCAACAACATTAAAAAGGTTTCTTTAGTTTTTAACTACTAGCTCTGGCTTAAGCCACCAAAACCAACAACAATATGTAATAATAAAACACATTGTAGCTAGACGGACGCATGGACGGACAGACAGCCAGCTAGATAGATAGACGTAAAGCAAGCTCCACAACCTCTACCACTAATACCAATAAAAGTTTCTTTATTTTTATTATTTTATATATGAGTACTTTTTTTCATATTATTTTCCACTGTACAAATCAAGTACAAGCTATAAAAAGGCCAAGATATTTTTCTGGCGGTTCAGTCCAAACGCGAAGTTTTACAAAGTCATTGAGAACGTAACGGGGTGCAAATTGTAAAAAAGAAGAAAAGAAAAATAAGATTAAGAAAAAAATTTGTAATTAACGTTTTGAAAATTAGTGGTGAATTTGAAAGTTGTCGAGATAAAAATCTTTAAGAATTCAATGAAAAATTAAAAAAAATAACAAGAAAATAATTTAACTAAATAAGTTTATTTTATTACAAAACAAATTAGCAATAAAGCTAAACAATGCTAGTGGTAGGTTGGATTTAGAAAAAAAAAAACAAGATTTTCATAAATAAAAAATATCTATTAGCCACATTACAATCAATCATTTTTAAAAGATCAACGAAAAAGGTCAAAGTTAATAAAAATTACTTAAAAAAAAACTTGAACAATGCAATGGATTTTATAAGTTTGAGTTTTTTTTTTTATACCAAAAAAGAAATATTATCATTAAATTAACTAAATTCCTTGGGAAAAATATCTTTAAAAAACAACAACTAAGTTTACAGTATTGTGTTTTTGTACAAAGTTACTTTTCAAACACAAGACTACTACATATTACTACTTTAGTGTTAGAGTAGTATGTATGTGTCTAAGAGTGTGTAATTCAAATATTAATGTATTTGTACATAATTGCGCTGATTATTTGAACTGCTACTACTTACTAGCTGAAACAGTATTCATTTGCATATGAAAAACTTGCTTTTCTTTTGTGAATTTGCATACATTAGCAGAGTCTGTCAACTAACTAAACTATTATTTTAAGACACTCACACTAACACACACATTCGTTTATTTTATTCAACACAGTTGTTCATGTGTTATAAGTACAACTCGGTTACTAAGCTTGCCAGTTGTTGTATTACTTCTATTGTCTGGTCATAGACTGTCTTAAGGTGTTGTTACACTTAAATAGTCACCCAATTTGGTTAAAATCTTTAATAATAAAGTGGATTTTCCAGTCGTAGAAAAAAATTGGTGCTACATATAGTCAATGCAATAAATTTGCATTTTTTTATACCCTACATCACTTTAGTGGGGAGGGTATATTGGGTTTGTGTTGATGTTTGTAACGCACAATAATATTGGTCCTATACCCGTCTTAAAGTATACCAATCGGCTTTGAAGCATTTTCTGAGTCGATTTAGCTATGTCAGTCCGTCTATCCGTCCGTCCATGTAAACCTTGTAATCAAACTACAGGTCGCAATTTTGAAGAAAATTCATTGAAATTTGGTACATGATCTTTTATTGTCACAGGGACGAAGTCTATTGAAAATGGTTTACATCGGTCCATTATTTCACCTAGCCCCCATACAACTGAACCCCCGAATAGGGCTTGTAAACCTTGTAATCAAACTTCAGGTCGCAATTTTAAAGATAATTCAATGAAATTTGGCACATGATCTTCTATGATACCGGAGACGAAGCCAGTTGAAAATGGTTAACATCGGTCCATTATTTCACCTAGCCCCCATACAACTGAACTCAACGAATAGGGCTTTTAAGTTCATAATTATGTTAGATATACTTGTATCTCGGCAAAAAGCTGCAAAACCAAGTTCTATACTAGCCTTGATGACCCTCAAAAATTTTATAGTTATATTTGACCATAGCCCCTATACAAAAATTCAAAATTTAACTTAAATGTCCACAATTTTATTCAACACTAAAAGGCTTAAGTATATCTGAGGCAAGGTACAATTCAACTTAAATGCTATATTATGAAAACTAAATCACATTTTAATTTTGTAACAGGCGTAGGGTATTATATGGTCGGCCTCGCCCGACTATAATTTCTTACTTGTTTTAATTTGCTTTAAATCAAGAATTTTTTGTGCTTGTCTTATGGCTCTTATGCAAGTTGAGTTTAATATGGCTTTAATTAAAGTTATTTCAAAATAATTCAATTATAATAATTTTAATATTATAACTTCAATTCAATCAAATTAAAAGATTTATATTCTGCTCTGGTGAATCTTATACAAATATTAAACAAAACTGTTAACATGTTAAAGTTATAGCGAAAAGTTTTAATATATCGAACAGCATATTATTCTAAATTCCATAAAAGTACCTAGTAAAAACATGGTAATAACTTGTACTTACTTGACAACTTACTTCTCAATGAATACTACATACCGTTTGCATTACTTAAAAGTCTAGTAATGACTTATAAAGTACTTACTTTTTAGCCTTAACATATTGTTTTGGAATATTGTTTTTAACACAAGCGAAACAAATGCAAGGGACACGTTCCTTGTTCGTAAGCAATTTTTTTCGATCTTAGCGATCTTAGTAAGTACTTACCTAACTCCCTATTTGTAAGCGAACGTCGTAAGAACTTGCCTCCAGTATTATCCCCGTGTTAAAGTATAATCTTAAAATGCTATTGTGCAAGTAAATTTTTACATTTTAACACCTTATTATTTTATGTAAGTTTTTGCTGGGTATATACATATGTTTGTATATTCTAGGGCCATATTTGATTATAAGGCTATCTTGCCCTCTCTGCCATTTTGTCCAGTTTTCAAATTGTTTACCTTTTCTTGATCGTTTTCGCTTTTTATGTTCTGGTCATTCCATTTCTAAGGCATCGAACATCATAGTATTCTAAGATCCCTTAAAAAATATATGTACATGATTTCACCTAGCCACTATACACTCTCTTCCCCCTTTATGACCCTCTTCTTAAAATTACAGGATGGATGGATGGATGGATGGATGGATGTAATTTCCCATACATATGTTTTATTGATACAAGTTTTTTCGTATTGAAAATGAGAAAAATCGGTACATGATTTCACTTAGCCCCTACACACCCCCTTCACATTATAAGGTCCTGTTCAGAAAATGACTTTAATATTCAAAACTGTATTTAAAATACCGGTATAGCGATAAAATAAAAACAAATTTATTATAAACCAAATAACTCTGAATAAAACTTTGTTCATATAAATATCTATAGGATCACAGTTATTTGTATTGAATATGTAGGTGATCTTATAATGTTGGCAGATCTGGCAGGTAAATTGTTAGTTCAGACGTTTGTAAGATAATCTTACAATTTTCTTGTGAGACAATAAATTTATCTGCCAACAAAAATTGTTCACCCTGCTGTCAGATCCTATTTTTGTAGCATTTATAAAATGGTGCCATTGTCAGATGCATAAAAATTGTCAGACAATGATCTGGCAATAGCAACGTAGTGCCACGATTGTCAGAAAAAATTATTGTTAAACATTGTACGACAATGATTTCTCTAACAAAGTTGCAAAACAAAAGTTCTTACAGTTGAGAAGTTCGGATCATTTCTCTGACAATATTGTAACATCTGACTACCGTGTGTTCATATCACTCTAATAAAGCTTATTACAGAGTTTTATGACAATCGTTTCATAATTTGTTATTGCACCCATATAAAACTTATATATTCCGTACTTAAGTATATAAACGCAATAGAATTTGTCCAATTAAATATAATTTAAAAAGTAATTCAACAAAGTGCTCTATATATGTATGTGTAAATCCAAAAATATTCATGTAAACTGCTGCATATTTATTATGTTCAACGAAAAATTAATTAAAATATCAAACTGTTTTTAGTAGGTTAAAAATAAACAAAAAAAATTACAAAATAGTATATAAACTAGATCAGAAGTAAGAAGTAAATGTCAAAGGCTTACAACCACATGATAACCACGAATGTTTAGAGAAGAGAAAAAAACATGTATCTATATAAAATTAATAATATTGAAAACTTTATCTCAAATTTCATAGATATGTTTAGCGAAAAATATTAAGGTGGCAGTTTTTCTATAAGATTATAACATTAGAGTGGTTTTCGGAATAGTTTGTTTAATAGGGCTTAAGAATGTTCTGTCGAAGAGGACCTCATATGGGTGCTTTCGTCACGATTGCAGCATAAACTAAGAAAAATTGGATAAATTTTGTTTGGTATTGGACTATATAGACTAAATTCGAACAACAGACAAATGAACTGATATTTAAAACCTTTATAGGACCTATGTTATTCATTATTGCTTCCACTCGAAAAAATGAGAACCGAATGTCTTCTAAAAATACACTATTAAGTATTAATTAAGATTGTTCTTTTAGAGAATTGAGGAAGTTTATATATTTAAATAACCATATCATCATATCATATATTGGAAAAAAAGTCTCTTAAAAGTTGGACTCTGTATGTTTAGATGAATAGATAAGCATCAATATTACATATACACATGTATGCATATAATTGTGGGCTCATAAGATAATCGACTAAGTCTCGAATTGTTTTTTTTTTGTATGCCGGCATATTCTATTAATAAGAGTCTATGTTTTAGTCGAGTCTGTCACAGCATTCTATTCCGATAGCAAGTATAATTATTACAAAGACTTTAACCTATTTTCAATCCCTCTTCAAAAATTGTAAGTAGTTTATCCGAAAAAGTTGTGATTTTCCCTTTTTAAGGCATGTAATTGTGTGACAGTCCCCTACGCGATTCTATTCTGATTTTCTACTTAGTTATTGCTCTTAACAATAGTTCCTCTAATATTCCAGCTAAAACTTACATTGAAAAGTAAGAGGTTAAAAATGTAACAATTTACTTACACAAGAGCATTTTAAGTCAAGTACTTACCTTGCTCGCTTACAGTTACAATCACTTGCAAAAAGGGAGTTAAGTAAGTAGTAGGGTGATCGATTATTCGACATTTTCCAAAAACCGGTTTTCGAATAGTTCGAATAGTTGACATTTAAAAAAAACCGGTTGATATTTTTCAAATTTAGAAAAAACCGGTTAACCGGTTTTTCATTACAATTAAAAAAATATATATTTTAATTTGAAAAATTTAATGTTTATGTTTAAATTTGATTAATAAAACATGGTCCGAAATGATTTTTAACAGTTTAAAAGATTATAACTTTAGATCTAGTCGTCTGATTTACATTATTTCTTTGATATAAAAAAATTAGGAAAAAAGTGGGACCCTTCTGTTAAACATGTAATCCTAGCTTATTTTAAAAGCCCTGTTTAGGAAATTTGCATAGGCATTCCAACACTTCCATAAAATTTCAGCCGTAAATTAATTATTGTAATTGGAATATAATCTTAAGATTGCTAAATTTTATCAAACAGTTATCCATTTTACAAATAATTTTTAATTAATTAGGAAAATCAAAAAAGTTTAACCAAAAGAGCTGTAGAAAAATATACTCTAGTTCCTCGACTCGAATATTTTTAAAATTTA